AGGGCGCCTTGCTTTGCACAAACCCCCACCAACATGTCGCTCCCGCGCCATGGATGTCCCGACGTCTCTCCTCTTTTGCACTAGGAGCGGAGTGTGTTTCCGAAATATGGCCATGGGGCAATCACCCTATGCCTCCATTTTGCGGCGGAGTGCTGCACCCATGTACCACCTATTTTTATGTTCACCAAAATTCAGGGTTTGACCCACAGCCATATGGGAAAAACAATGTCCACCCCAAAACGTGTTCCCTGAAAAACTGGAAAGCTTCCAAAGGTAGTTGGCCACGAGCTCAATCTGACCAAATGCCCAGAGAGCAAGGCTAACTATGAGACTGTGCGTGCTTTAACGGAACCACAAATTGGCTTCGGCTTTCCTAATTGTGTTCCTTTGAAAAGCAACCAAAAGGGGGTACCCTCAAAAAACGACACACCCACATGGCCGGAAAAGATGAAATTGGCCCTTAGCCGTTAGATGCCTTTCCGGATGGTTCCGTCCTTACACGGCTAGCGACAAGTATGCAATTGCGTTGAAGATGGTAAGATGGCAAAATATGTTCCTACTCGGCCAAGAAGCCAAGAAGCGATGCTGTTGATGTTTTGCGAAGCCATGGAACCTTGATGACTGCCTCTGTGGGAAACTCCGACACCCGGGTAAAAGGAACTCACCACACCTCTTGAGGAGAGTCATCTTCTAGGGATCGATCCTTCCATGTCAATGTTGGGAGCGAGCGCTTAACTCAACAAGCCCCGCCTTATCCCTGCACAGGTCATGAAACGATTTGTTTAAGGTGGTGTGAAAAGGTTAGAACGGGCTTGGACAGGCTTGAACGGGTCGAGCGACAGGTTTGAAGAGGCTTAAGTAGGCACAAACAAGTTTGAACAGGTTTAAACACGTTGAAACAAGTCATATGTTGACATTGAGCAGCTTTAAATGAGTGAGGAAACTTGAAGAGAGGCGAGCAAATGAAGGGAAATAGCTCAGATGACAAGGAATCTCTTCACTCTCAAGTGCCTTCCCCTTGGCAACATTTGAGCGGGAGAAGAACATCTATTCATCACTGATCATCACTGTCCCAGTCTTGCTAGCTTCCAGAGATGACAAGCGATCAGAGGAGGGGACAGAAAGAAGGTGAAAGACATGGCCTCTCTTCTTTCCTCAAACCCTAGATTTCCCATGGTTGAGTAGAGGTGATGGATAGGTGAGAACGGCATATGATGTAAGGAATGAACAGTCACCTCGGGACTTGTCTTTATGTGAGTTTCTGAGACTCTGTTTACCTATTTGGAAAGGCTTCCCCTGGCATTAGCCCTCCTACCCACCGTTCAATTCTTCAAGACGTGAGTGGAGAGATGGATGGAGAGTCTTTTCGTTCATCATGTCCCTTCTCACTCTCCCACATACCCTCCCACCAATGAACATGGAACCTGACGTTTCGGGTGTTCCTAGAAGTTCATTTTCCTCTTAAAGGGATCCCCTGTGAGGTTCCATGTTCCATTGGTGGGAGGGCACCTCCCCTGATTCCCACGAGTTGGCCGGGCGGTTTTCGCATCTCTTTTGGCGTTCAGGCGCCGGATGCCGTCCCGGCCAATCCGCGGCCGGCCAATCCGGGCAGCGCGCAAAGGCGGCCTATCCCGTCCTCTTGCTCCCGCATTGGTACTGATGGACGAAATCCATTTCGCAGCACCTAAGAAACCTGGTTTCTGAGGATTCCTGTGTAAATTCCAACAAACAGCGGACTTTGTTGGTTTCAAGGTGGTGCGAAATGGATTTCGTCCATCCACAGTGTCACGCAAAGAAAAGAAACCCCATGAGGTTCGGAGCAAGGGTTCCAGAGTTGCCAGGCTTTTGGGGATAGAAGGAGTATAATTTGTTTGGAGTCCGGGCAAAAAAGTGGAGGTCTGGGCACAGCCCAACAAAGACGGCATGTATGAACCCATGCGAGGTGTTAGGGAATATGCAGCCCCAGAATGTGCGAGTTGGTTGCAGGTTGGTTTCCCTTCAAAACCAAGAAACAAGGAGTTTCCAGACAGCCGTGCGTGAACCCCTGGCATGAACCCCTAGTCTAGTGATTGATGAACAGTGGTAATTCTGGGAAGCCAGCCTCCAAACAAAACCTCAAAATGGCCACAGCTTCATATGTGGACGAAAAAAACATCGGCTTTCCAGCAGATCGCTTCGCGGAAGACTTGGAGCTTCTCGTGTGGCGCAAGCCTTCGGGGCCGAAGGAAAGGACTTCCCTCACTCAGGAGGCCAAAAATGGGTGTGTCTTGAGCCCCTCCACCACAGCAAAAATGCCGGTGGTCCTTTGGGTGTCCCTGTAAAGCCACGACAGAAGGGGGGAAAAAATCGCCCCCCCCCCCAAAAAGAAAAAGTCGCCCAGAAATCAACGGGTCGAAGTTGCTGCGTTGTGTTTGGGGTTCGAAGCCGCAGGCAGGGCTTCGTTCCCTTCAGCGGCGCGGGGCAGCGACTCAACTGAGAGCGAGCTGCCAGGGTTCTTCGGTGGTGCAGGATTTCGTTCATCCGCAGGGGGTGCTTTCCCCTGGATGAAATGCGGGAAATCAGACCACTTTTGGAAGGGAACACCCCCCTATTAACAAACTGGGGTTAATTTATATGGGCTCAACCCCGGAACAACGGCCTGGTGGATGAAGCGGGGAAACATGCGTTTTTTTTCCCAGGGGACGGTACTGTGTAGGAAGCCCAAGTTGGTTTGATCCCCACCGGGGGAGGGGGGTGACCATGCCAGAGGGGATTTTGAGGAAACACCGGGCCGCCCATACCGAAGCATGGGCTCGAGAACTTCAAAATTTGTCCAGAACCTTGCTTTGCCTTTTGGTTGGGCCAAGCTGAAAGAACCCTCCCATCAACTGTCGCAGTCAAGCTATGCCCGCAGGAGATGGAAACAGCACAAACATGGTGCAGGGTTACGAAGGAGGAAACGAGTTGCTGCCCCTTTCGACACCGGGGCTGGCACGTTCTGTTCCCGTTGGCCCTTTGTTGCCTCATTTCCAGGCAGGAAACGCTGGCTCTCTTGATACGGACTCTTCTGACTCATTCTCAGTACCGACGGCTGGAATCCAGTACTTGCTGTATGGTTCACAAAGTCTCGGCATGCGAATCCGCGTCCGTGTTTGATGCAAGGCTACGGCTGGCCCGACAAATGTCTTCCAGCCATCTTGATCCACAAACGAGCTCGTCGGATGGATGGAAAACCAGCAATTCCAGGCCCACAAAGTGTATGTTGATCCGATTTCTACTCCATACCCTCTATTGAATTTGCGGTATCTGGAAAGGATATCAAGAGAGCCAGCTAAATCTCATAAGGAAGTGCTGCGGCCCGCTTACCGCAGGCGAAGATTTAAAAAGGGGCCGACTTTGGCATTTGCATCGCGGTTTTGGGAAGTGGTGACTGGTGGCTTTCGCGGAATGGTTTGTTGGCTCAAGCCATCTCGTGCCTCGAGGTAGCATATGATTGTCACATGTTGCGTCGGGTTGGGATTCACCAATTTGTAAACCAACTGCCTTTGTCTATGGCTGCAATTAGAATGAATGTTCGACCAACATGGTGTCGCAAACAAGTGTAGAGCCAACAGCAACAGCATAAGAGCTATCTGTTGTTGGGATCGACCCCTTTTTTTGTTGGTGGGACTGTTTCTTGATGAATCCGCAGCAGCAATGGCGTCTCAGTCAGGAAACGAGCTGAAGCACAAACCAACCCGAAAGACTGCAGCGATAAGGCACTTGAGTACAAGCGCCGTTGTCCGAAGCAAGTCTGTTTGACCCTTTCGGTAGAAGCCAGTTTTGACACATCTGTCAATGGTAGTTGGCGCAAAGGTGCTGCTATCGGCTCGGCTCCAGAGTGACCCCCCGGACCTGTGGCCTCACTTTGGTGGAGCTTCCCTGGAAACTGAACTCCCATGGAAGTCCACCAGACTGACCTGAATCAATGCCTGACTTACCATAGAGTCCCGACGGCGGAATGAATCGGTTTTCAAGGCCATTCCAAACCAATGACTCCTGACAGATTTAGGTGGATTCCCTTTGCTTTCTGGGTTGTTTGTTTGACTCGTTCGAAGGCGCCCGAATCCAATGCAAGCCCCAACGTATCCCTGGCTGTCTCTTGTGAGGGGGGGTGCCTTGTTGGGTGTCATTTTTTCGGAGGATCCGAACAGAAACCGCCCATTTTAGATGTTCGAGACAAGCCCCCCTTGTTCGCATTCTCCGAGTCTGGGCATGGAAGCAGTCTCCCCCAGCCAAACGGAGGTTCCAAAAATGCTGCCTTTTATGAGGCTCCATGACTAATGGTCAGAATGGTTTTGTGCGGACGCAAGAGGAAACCAGCCACTTCGGCAAACCATGCCCAAGCTTAAGACATATCGGAAGACTTTCTCGTCCTGAACGTTGTTTTTTGCTTCGCCAAATGAGCCAAGAATGGGCGAGGGACGGAGTCATTATCGACAGGCCAAAGAAACTGGAGAATGCAAGAACAGCCATGTGTATGTGCGTGTGTGTGTGTGTGCTAAAGCTACTGGGGGCATCTGAAAATTTGGAGCCCCCTTGTTCGATACGCAGTGTATTAAGAGACTTCAATGAAAGCCCAATTACAAACCACATAATGTTGAGGAAGTATTCACCGGAAAGATATCCGCCAGAATGCCCACCGGAATGGCCTTTGCTTCGCATTATGGCATTATTCCTTTACCCCTCGCTCGTTGTCAAAGCTGTCACGCGCAGGCTCACAGCCGGTCCAGGGTTTAGAAAAAACCTCATCATTGAATCCCCGGCATGGGTTAGATCCCCTTTTGGATCACGAGCACTGAAAAAAGCGAGGCCGAAGGAAGCTTCGGTTGTTTTTGCTGACATGGAGATGGGTCAGAATTGAACCACCAAGAAATGCACAGGTTTTAGTCTATGTTTCCATTTGCCAGGGCAAGCCATTTTGAGTTTCGTATTTTGACCCGCCAAATACCACAACCAAGAAAAAAAAGCTAGAAACTTGCCTTGAAACTGCGTCTGCGGTTCCCCCCGCGCTGTGCACGCATGAACACCTCCCCGGGCGCGCATGACTCCATCAGGGAGCAACTCTGCCAGGCTCTTAGACGGAGAATCCAGTGGCAAATGACAAAGCTGAAACCACTGGAATCCATCGACGTTCCAAAATCATCCAAGGACACCTCTGATAGCTCTCCTCTAAAGGAATCAAAGGAATGTGACACCCTTCTCTCGTTCTGAATAGTTGAGCTGGGCGTGTCCATTTACGAGCTGAAGGCGATTCCCCTTGCTATGGCTTGAGATTAGACGGCGAGCACATGCCTCGCTAGTGGCGCGATCCCTCGTGGAACGCCGCAGGGATGCTGATTATTGGCTCGAGGAGTGCTTGACGCGGCCAGAAATGGCTGTGGGTCAAAACCGTTTTGGGATCCCATTTTGGGGTAGGTGAATTCACCACCCATGCTAGAACCTATTTTAGTGGGTATTGGGATGTTCACTGGGGGTACGATTTGGCTTTTGACCCATGGCCAAATGAATCAGCCTACTTGGTCCGAGAACTTCACGGGCAGGCTGTATGCTGTGCGGTGACGGCCAAACGAAACTCAGATGGGCTCCTGCTGGTGGCAAGGTTGCCCAAAAGACCTGGCTCATGTTTCTGGTACTTGAAGAACGGCGGCACATGAAGCATGACTTAGCATGTGAGTCGTTTTTGAGTGCCAAGGCCTTTAAGAAGGTTAAGCAGAGCCTGGCCCTTTCTGACAACGCACCCGAAGAGAACATCAGAGAGGAACCGCGGCTGAGGTCGACGCTGTTTACGCAGACTCCCAACTCGGCACCCCAACATAAGGGCGCAGTTGGCGGGATTTGTCCCAAGTGGTTCCGTTTTCGGTACATGATCCGTTTCCGGGATGTCAACTTTGCGGCGCAAGCGACTCCAACTCATGTTGAATGTCGGAGAAGCATCCAACCAAGGTAATTACCCAGGGGGAGTTGAAACATACCCCCCCTCCAACGTGTAAAGGGCTGGGGGGGTTAAAGTTAAAAGGTAAACCCTGCAAGCCTTGCGTCGGCGTGGGATTGCATCCCAAGACCTCGCGATGCCGAGGCCAAATCGAGCAAAGCCTCGGCGTGTGCCACGTGGCCGAGGTCCAGGCTGGCCGAAAGGAAGCCGCAAGCGAGAAGTTGGCGCGTTGCGAGTGCCACGACACGCACGGTAGCCTCTTCGAAGCGACACACGATTTGGTCCCCCAGCTGTAGGTGCCCTTTCTCACCCCCTTTTTTGGTTGGGAGGGTTCCCCTACCAAAATAGACTGCAGCAGAACAATCGGGCAGCCTTATTCTAAGCTTTCTACTGGAGGACCTAGTCACGATTTGGTCAATCTGGTTCCCTCAGCCTGTCACAACCGGCGCCGAAGACTTGGATCTCAGGGAGAGTGGAAGGCTAGACAGACGTAGACTCCCAACGCTGGGTAGAGGGGAGTGAGTTGAAATGAAATGAACATATCAGGAATACCCTCGGGGTATGCTCAACATGAACTAGAGTTCTACCAGACATGTGTATGATCTATACCAGTAGAGCCGGCGAAGCCAGTGGGCGGAAGTTTCCAAAATATACAACTATAGTTATCTTTGTTTTTCTTGTTTTGATTATTGTTATCTTCTTCTTCCTTGTCACATTTTCTGTTTTCTTCTTCTTCGTCATTATATCTTTCTTTCTTTCTTTCTTTCTTTCTTTCTTTCTTTCTTTCTTTCTTTCTTTCTTTCTTTCTTTCTTTCTTTCTTTCTTTCTTTCTTTCTTTCTTTCTTTCTTTCTTTCTTTCTTTCTTTCTTTCTTTCTTTCTTTCTTTCTTTCTTTCTTTCTTTCTTTCTTTCTTTCTTTCTTTCTTTCTTTCTTTCTTTCTTTCTTTCTGTCCTTCCTCCCTTCTTTCTTTCTTTCTTTCTTTCTTTCTTTCTTTCTTTCTTTCTTTGCTTTCTTTATTTTGCTTGGTTTTGCCTTTAGTTTGCCTCTTCTCTATCTATCTATCTATCTGTCTGTCTATCTATCTATCTATCTATCTATCTATCTATCTATCTATCTATCTATCTATCTATCTATCTATCTAATATAATCTAATCTAATCTAATCTAATCTAATCTAATCTAATCTAATCTAATCTAATCTAATCTATCTATCCAATGTATCTATCTATCTATCTATCTATCTATCTATCTATCTATCTATCTATCTATCTATCTATCTATCTATCTATCTATCTATCTATCTATCTATCTATCTATCTATCTATCTATCTATCTATCTATCTATCTATATCTATATATCTAATCTATCTAATCTATCTATCTATCTATCTATCTATCTATCTATCTATCTATCTATCTAATCTAATCTAATCTAATCTAATCTAATCTAATCTAATCTATCTATCTATCTATCTAATCTATCTATCGATCTATCTATCGATATATTTATCTATCTATCTATCTATTTATGCTCACGGCGACGTTAGACACGCGGGAGGATCCTTCGTTTTTTCATGTTCATGACTTCTTGACAAACAAGCTGACGTAGCACGCTTGACTTCGATTCATATTTACCGCCAGTGGCAGGTCGCGTTTACCGCCACCCGTGCAAGAGCGCTCGTAGCACGCTTGACTACAATTTATATTTACCGCCAGTGGCAGGTCGCGTTTACCAACACCCGCGCAAGAGCGCTCGCAGCGCGCTTGACTACGATTTATAGTTTTCACCAGTGGCAGGTCGCGTTGAGTGTCACCTTCGCAAGAGCGCTCGTAGCACGCTTGACTTCGAGTCATATTTTCCGCCAGTGGCAGGTTGCGTTTACCGCCAACAGCTGCGCCGTAAACCCTAAACCTTAAACCCCAAACCCTGAACACAAAACCAGCCAAATGATAAGCACACCCGCTCAAGTGCACCCGCACAGCACTGCACACACGCCAGCCAAATGATAAGCACACCCGCTCAAGTGCACCCGCACAGCACTGCACACACGCCAGCCAAATGATAAGCACACCCGCTCAAGTGCACCCGCACAGCACTGCACACACGCCAGCCAAATGATAAGCACACCCGCTCAAGTGCACCCGCACAGCACTGCACACACGCCAGCCAAATGATAAGCACACCCGCTCAAGTGCACCCGCACAGCACTGCACACACGCCAGCCAAATGATAAGCACACCCGCTCAAGTGCACCCGCACAGCACTGCACACACGCCAGCCAAATGATAAGCACACCCGCTCAAGTGCACCCGCGCAGCACTGCACACACGCCAGCCAAATGATAAGCACACCCGCTCAAGTGCACCCGCACAGCACTGCACACACGCCAGCCAAATGATAAGCACACCCGCTCAAGTGCACCCGCACAGCACCATGTCCAACAGCTTTTTCCCCCCCTGGTCTGGCGCGTCCCCTGCAACCGGAGGTCTTCTTTTGGGGGGGAAACTGTATATTCCTCTTGTCTGTTTGCTTCAAAAAGGGGATACACAATGCGGTTCCCAGGGGACGTGGCAGCAATTCGATCGTGGCGAGCATGGCATATCTGGCACGTCCCCTGCAACCGGAAGTCTCTCTTTTGGGGGTAAAACTGTATACTCCTCTTATCTGTTTAAATGGGACCCCCTACGAAATGAAAGGGAGCCCTGGCTGTTTGTTTGAGAGACTTCGAAAAGGGGATACACAATGCGGTTCCCAGAAAACGTGGCAACAGTTGGATCGTGGCGAACATGGCATGTATGGCGCGTCCTCTGCAACCGGAAGTCTCTCTTTTGGGGGTAAAGCTGTATATTCCTCTTGTCTGTTTAAATGGGACCCCCTACGAAATAAAAGGGAGCCCTGGCTGTTTGTTTGAGAGACTTCGAAAAGGGGATACACAATGCGGTTCCCAGAAAACGTGGCAACAGTTGGATCGTGGCGAACATGGCATGTCTGGCGCGTCCTCTGCAACCGGAAGTCTCTCTTTTGGGGGTAAAGCTTTATATTCCTCTTGTCTGTTTAAATGGGACCCCCTACGAAATAAAAGGGAGCCCTGGCTGTTTTTTTGAGAGACTTCAAAAAGGGGATGCACAATGCGGTTTGCAGGGGACGTGGCAACAATCGAATCGGCTGTGGTTTCAGTGTCTGTGAACGTATTAGTTCTTTCTTGCAGCACGCAGGCTCCAGAAGACCTTCTGAGATCTCCAGACGACCGTTCGGCATGTCGGCTTTCTACTTTGAGAACTCATGTTGGACACCATTGGATGCAGCAGATGGTTTTCAGTGCTCCAAAGGCGTAGCGGATTGCTACCTCTTTTTGGGATCTTGGAACCAGGGACAGTGTCAAACTGAGCAGACCTAATAAAACACATATCTCACGTCAAAGACGCCATGGCCGGTGGATACGGATTCGGATGTTCAAAATATTTTGTCCGCCTGCCAAGCCTTGGTCTCCTCATGCTCTGCGGGACAGGGCTGCATCCCTGGCAGCTCACAGGACGGAGTCTGCCGCAAAGCTGTTCGGTTTTGGTCGCTGGCACACTTTTGGTTTCGGGTCCCTTTTTTGGTTCGGATGCTGTAGTGCATTAACCAGGGAATTCCAGATGAAGAAGTCGGTTTCAATGTCTTTGGCCTGGCCGGCTTGATGAGCCTGCCTCGTCGCAGGATGACATTGTTGAGGAAAACCTCGCCCCACAGCCGCCCTCGAAGCGTCGATGCTTTAAGTACGGCGCCTGTGCGCGGCGCGGTGTGGCCCGCAGGCCGCACATCTTCAGCTCCGGCCCGATGGCGGGCAAGAGCCTCCATGTTTGCAGCCGTTTCTGGAAATACTCCAGTGATGGCCGTAGACTCTGCTGGCACTATGAAGTTGTGACTAGTCAATGCGTTGACACTATGTGGCCAAAGTGCATGAAAGAATGGTATTACGATTTTTACAACAGGATTCAAAGAGCCGGGCGCTGATAGCGTCTCGCTGGACATGTCTTGCACCAGCGGTGACAACATAGCCGGGGGCACGGCAGATCGTTGCAGGGGTCGGGGGTGCAAAAATGTGTCCGGGCTTGGACGGGCTGCTGGGTCGGAGATGTGAAGCAATGCTTGCGACGGGAAGTTTCGGACCTGCTCATAACAGGGCGCTTGGAGGTGGACGCTACTGGCCTCAGAAAAGCGTTTGTCAGCCCCTCAAATGGAGCTTGGAAGGCCAGTGTCCAAGAGTGGAAGGATGCGCACGGGACTACGTCGGTCCCAAGCTACTTCCTCTCCTACGTCCGCGCAGCTGGCATGGTCTCTCGCGGCGAGAACTCGAAGCTGTTGTTGATGCCGCTTCCTTGCAAGCTGCTGAGCCCTGTCTCCCGGCCTCCGACGGGGTCCAACCTGGACGTGACTGTGCTTCGGCTGCAGTGCTTTTTTAAGACGTGCCAACTATTTTGTTTTGCGGGGAACCCTCCCAGCAGAAAGAAAGAAAGAAAGAAAGAAAGAAAGAAAGAAAGAAAGAAAGAAAGAAAGAAAGAAAGAAAGCGAGAATGACGAAGTCTCTTTCTCTTTGTTTCTATCTAATCTATCTATCTATCCACCTATCTATCTATCTTTCTTTCTTTCTTTCTTTCTTTCTTTCTCTCTCTATCTATCTCTCTGTTTATCTATCTATCTCTCTATATATATATATATCTATCTCTCTCTCTCTCTTGATCTATCTATCTGTCTATCTAGCTATCTATCTATCTATCTATCTATCCTATCTAATTATCTTATCTAATCTAATCTACCTATCTATCTATCTAATCTATCTAACCTATCTAGTCTATCTAATCTATCTAATCTAATTAATCTATGTATCTATCTATCGATCGATCTATCTATCTATCTGTCTATCTGTCTATCTGTCTATCTCTCTTTCTCTTTTTTTCTATCCAATCTTTCCATCTATCGACCAATCTATTTACCTATCTATCTATATATATCTATATGTTTTATTTATCTATCTATCTATCTATCTATCTATCTATCCCTCTTTCTATTTTTCTATTTAATCTATCTATCTATCGACCTATCCATCTATCTATCTATCTATTTATCTCTCTCTCTCTCTCTCTCTTTGTTTCTTTTCATTATCTATCGACCTATCTATCTATCTATTTCTCTCTCTCTTTGTCTCTTTTCATCTATCTACCGATTTATTTATATATATGTTTTACCTATCTATCTTCTATCTATCTTTCTTTTTTCTATCTATCTATCTACCTGTCTATCTATCTATCTACCTGTCTATCTGTCTATCTATCGTTCGATCTATCTACCTACCTATATCTCTATCTATCTATCTTGATTTAATTGTGTCCATCTATTTATCTACCTATTTATTTATCTATCGATCTATTTATCCATCTATCTATCTATCTATATATGTATCTCTCTTTCTCTCTTTTTGTCTAACTAATCTATCTAATCTATCTATCTATCTATCTATCTATCTATCTATCTATCTATCTATCTATCTATCTGTCCATTTGTGCTTAAACGTGCGAAAGTGCTGCCCTTGCCACGAAATCTGCACTTGACCTTGCGAATGTGCTGCGCCTGCCACGAAATCTGCTTTGCCTGCCACGAAATCTGTACCTGACCTTGCGAATGTGCTGCGCCTGCCCCGGAATCTGTACTTGACCTTTCGAAAGTGCTGCGCCTGCCACGCAATTCAAAACCTGGGAAAACTTGACCTTGCGAAAGTGCCGCGCCTGCCACGCAATTTCAATCTTGGGAGAATTTGACCTTGCTAAAGTGCTGCGCCTGCCACAAAATATGCACCTGACCTTGCGAAAGTGCTGCGCCTGCCACGCAAATAGAACCTAGCGTAACCTTCGCGTGGCCGTGCCAATGGGCCTGCGCTCCGAGCATGATCCGAGACCTGGTCCGAACGTGGTCCGAACGCGGCCCGACCAGGCGCCGCGAACAGGCTAGCTTTCAGCTCTCCGGAGACGCCGATTCACACACAGGGCCACGTTTTTGCGCATTTCTATAAGTTCCTTCTAAACTTCCTTTGGTTGAGAATTTGTTGGATATATGTATCATACACGCGGTAGAATGCTACACAAGTTCTAGGAACTCTATTGGGTCTATAGTAGGATTTTTCTAGAAAGTGAACCAGTTATCACAATTTTCACTTAAACCAGTTCTGGATAACACCTAAGTTTGTCAAACAACTTGATACATCTCTTCACACATCGCTAAGAATGTGGGTCACCGATTTTTATTTGGTATGGCAGGAACTTGGACGTGTCTCGGCCGGGGCAAGCTGTGCCCCGGAGCTCTCAAGTTGAATTTCTTGCGGTTTGCCTAAGACGGCACACCCCGAGCCCCAGGCCTTTTCAATCTGGGTGGGCAATCTTGTGTTTTCGCGGCTCGCTTTTCTCGAGGGTTGCCTGCAGTTTTATGCCGAAAACCGAAAAAAAACCCAGAGAACCCGAAGAACAAGCGAGAAGGATGCGCACCCCAAGCTCCAGGCCTCAAGGTGTGCAGTCTGTTGGGTGGAGTTTTGTTTGTTTCTGCATCCACCATTGCAGTTTGCTGCCAAAAGCGCTTGGCTTGGTAAGTCCCAGAAAGCCAAAGATAAGACCACAGAGAAGTCCGCTTCCTTCACAGCATCCAAGCCATTCTGATAGAACACTCCGAGCTTTCCTTCTGAGCCTTTTTTATCAGTGGGGAGCCCATCCTTCCCGAATTCTCCCACGGAAGGCCTGGCATCGAAAGCCGCCGCAGCCTTCGCGTTCGCCCCAAGCTCAAGGCCCATTGGTATGGTGCTACTTCGTAGATCCGGGGTCGATTCCTATTTTTGGTGGGTCAGCACCGTTTTGGCCCAACGGTGAGTGTTTTTGTTTGGTGAAAGTGATGTTGTTTTAAAAGGAAATGTAGGGAGCCAGGTAGATGGGTCGTCAAAAACAGGGTAACCCCAAAATGGGCTTAGTCTAGTACATGGAAAGGACGAAAGCCTTCGGTCCAGATCCTGGTAGGGTTAAGTTTGACCAATACCCACATAGATTGTGTGTTCGTGATTTTCTGTTTCCTCCTGGGTTGTTTTTGCTGAGCATGTTGCTCAGAGAGGAGTTGCTTTGTCTAGGAATCATGTGGCATTTGTACATGCATACATAAAATGGACTTAGATATATACATAGATATGTACATGTATACGTATATAGAGAGAGAGAGAGAGAGAGAGAGAAAGAGAGACATACATGTATGTGTGTATGTGTATATATATATATGTGTGTGTGTATGCATATGTCTATATGTACACAGATGGTGTGACGGTTGACCTGCCTCTGAGGCCAGCGCCGCCGACCGGCTTGGCCACCAGGCAGGGGTTGGCGCCGCTGGGTGCGTCGTTCTTGGGGTTGGTATGCTTAGACTGACCGCCGAAAACTCCGCCAAAAGGGCTCGTTTGTGATGAAAACAATCTTTTTTGATGAAACCAAGTCTTCCATTTCGGGGTCCTGGGAGGTTTCATGTTAGTCTGGGGGAGGGTTCCCTTTCTGGGTTTGTGTCAAAAGCAACCCAAGGTCACGTCAAAGAGAGGCCACCCAAGTGTTGCAACCAACAAGAACCAGCCCTTCCGGGCGTTGTCTTCCTTGAGGGTACCTTTTTGGGGCAAAACTCTAAAGGGTATGTGCAGACACCTCTGTTTGCAGGGAAGCCTTTTTGGATGCTCTCTGGGGGCGCTGGTGAAAGACTGAGCTTGCGGAATAGTCTGTTGCGGGCCAGGGAACCCAGGGGTACAGGGCCTCAACTGCTTTGGACTCATGACAGTGACGCGTGGAATGTGTCACAAGGGCCCAAACGAGTTGGTGAGTTGCAATTTGCCCAAAACCCATGTGTGTGTGTGTGTGCGGCCATTTTATTTTAAACCCCACCACCCCTTCTTCAAAGTATCTGGAAAACCACGATTGTGCACAGGCAAGCCTGTTGAACATGAACAAAACACCGTGATCTACCTGCCGGCTCTCTGTGAGTGGGGGCTTATACTTCCCAGTCTAGTGGGGATAGTGAGGCCTACACAGACCTCTTACACTTTGATAGAAGCAAAAGTGAATTCGTAGTTGGCGCTGCTGGTTTGTGGATCCAACTTCTATTGCTTGCCTTCCATATCTGCTTAAACCCATCCTCCGGCTTGATGTGGAGCTGTGTTGAAATGAGCTCGTTCTGGGCCCCGTGCTCATGTCGGTGTCCGTTTGACACGTCTCGAAATGGCTGGGTTGGGAAAATTGGGCTCAGACGATCAGACCCTCGTGCACTCAATGGAATCAAAGGAGTTGCAGTTGGTCAACATTGATGAAACAGGAGGCAACGACCCTCCCATTCATTTTGAGACAGTGACAGATATCCCTGAGGAGCCGGTCCAGCCAGCGTGGGGTGCTGAGATGCCGATCAGTAGCATTGGATCCTCCAATTGGCAAACTGAGGTGACTGTCTTTTTTGGGACCCCTTCAAAGAGGGCAGACACAGGCAGACTGTGTGTTCGTGTGGGCAGTGTGTAGGTCCCTCCAGGCGGATTTCAAAAGACTTGAAGGGTCGTCAGTTCAAGTGGTCCGCTGCCGCCTGGGATTGTCTTGTTCAAAGAATGGGAAACCACTGGTTGTGATGCTAAGTCGGGTCCAAAGGGTAGGGCTCACAGTGTAGCATGACCGGGTAGAGCTCGCGTCAAATGCCCTTTGTTTTTTTGAGAGGGTACTTTTTTTCTGGCCCACGGCTTCTGCAAAAGGAAGTCATTTTGGACTTTCGGGCTGGAAGTGCACCATGACCGTTGGCCGGGAAACTCCGTAAAGCACAGATTTCGAACCCTTGAAAAAACTCAAAACCTGGGCCATGGTTGTAGGACATCGGGGCTTTGGGTGCCACTTTCTGTGATACCAAGGGGGATCCCCGAATGATGAAGCCCTGGTTGCACAGGAAGCCACCCTGGTATCACAAAGGGCCCACCCGAGGTCCCAATCCACGGATAGAGACTGAGAAGCCGCAACAGGCCACTTGGGTACCGTTGAATGACGCGTGGTGTGTTCGTGCTTTTGGGTTTGGAAGGCAAGGACATGGTTGTTGTTGGGAAACATTTTACATGTTTGCATATTATGGTTACTTAACTGCTAAAATTTAGATTTTTGCTCCCCTTCCAACATCAAAGAGGAACCCACCCATGTGGGTCACATTGAGACCCGAATGTTGCAGAGAAGGGATGTGTGTGTGCGTGTTTTGTGTGTGTGTGCTTTTTTTTTTGCCACGTGTCGAGTGGTGTACTTCAAAAAAGGGAGTCAACCGGGATGGTCATATTGTCGACATTTGCCTTGGAGGAGTTCTGATTCGGCAAAACGAGAGGCCACAGGAAGGATCCTTTGCAAATGTTCTCGGAAACGAAATGTGGAGCTTGAGTTGGCTTTTGGCTGAGTATATGCTGGACTGTCGAAACAAAAAAAGAATGCCAAACAATGGAGCGCTCCTTTAAAACAAAGTCAGTGCAGAGATGTTTGGAAAACAGATGCTAAATCAGGCTCCTGCTTTGGAATCAATTTAGCTGGGAGTGTCTCTCTTCTTGGCAAACGTTTGGATTCTCCTACCCTCACGTTGGCTTCCATTCAAGGGCTGCGCCCCACACCAGTTGCGCTGGCTGTCTGGCAGGGAACAGCGTCGATCTTACCCAAGACAATCGCGCGAAGTTTGACCCCCCCCCGAACAAATACTTTCTTTGAGGGGTTCCAAATTCCACACATTGCGGATGGAACGGGCTCAGCAACAGACCAAGTGTCCAGCACGCTTCTTCCAGGTCGACGATAATCATTCGTAAATGTTAATAGATTTGCAGACTTACTGCGGATGGACGAATTCCTACACCGCTTTGAAACCAAGGGAGTCCACTGTTTGTTGGTATTTGCAGGGGTATCATCATAGGGCTTCTTAGGTGGTGCGAAATGGGTTTCAACCATCCAAGAGCAGAGTCACGCATGTTTCAGCTGCACCTGAACAGCCATCCCCAGCACCTGGAACCACCAAAAACCGGGGAATCAGGCATCACGTTGGCTGCCGCCAGTGCAGCCCACACGAAGAATACCCAAAAAGCACAACAAAACCAAAAGTCGAAAAGGTATGTGCAAAGCACGAACAACAGCCCTAAAAAGGCGCAAACAACAGGACAAACAAGAATTAGAACGCAAAACAACCCACAACGAAAAACACCCCAAAAAACAAAAGAAAAGCACAAAACACAAAGAAAGAATAGAACAGGAACGAACGAAAGCAACAACAAGCAGCGCAAAAGTGCAAAAAAGACTAGAATCCTAGAAACGCACAACCCACCCGCAAGGAATGTTAAGAAATCACTGGAACAACCTGCACACACACACACACACACACACACACACACACACACACACGCACACACACACACACACACACACGCACAAACACACACACACACACACACAGGACCTCAGAAAAACAAAAGAAAACAATAGTGTGGGCCGTGCGACAACTGCAATGCAAACGGCCCATGATTTGTTCAACCCAGAGCAACGTCCCAGAAAGTGAGCAGCGCGTCAGCCTGAACCAGTCGCCGAATTGCTGAATCGGCAGGGCCGGGCAGCCGCCAAGCAAACTGACATGCGCCCCGCTGGATAGCCAGTTTAAAGGCAAATCCTTTTGACAACTGTTACTGGGCAGGGGAGGAAACAAATGCATCACCATCATCCGGCGCAATTCCCGCATCATCAGCATCAATGGCATTTGCCCAGCCGCCTGCAGCCACACGCACAGCGATGCCTCAAATTGCTACAGAACCATTGAAAATTGACCTGGGCGGCCACTGCTGGTGCTGTACGTGCCTAGAGAAATGGCTGAGAAGTATTGCCCGCCTTAGAAAGCGCCAAATTGTGTGTTTTCTCTGAACCTGCGCCTTTTCGCCACCGCCGGATCACCTGCGTCACCAGAGAGTGCCGCCCAGCACGAGTGTGAACACTGTGTACAGTGCAACCCAGCTGGCTGCGGCCAACCCCAAGACAATCGAGCGGATGCTGATGATGGAGGTCGGCGTCTCGTGGCGGCTGCCCGGTAGCCTCCGGTGACGTGGCGAACGTGGCTCGTGTTTGTCCACGTGCTTTGGAGGTTCCGAGTACTCGCAGCTCATGTTTGCGTATGTTTCCATCATTAGCCGGCGAACCCCTTGTCCCATACTATAAAGTGTGAACGTCACAACTGCCTTGCAATACTTGGCCGTCACCCCCCCCATTTGCACCTCAGAAGGGAGGCGTAGCTGCAGCGCGTTGCGTGTGCCGTTGATGTTTCCGACGCGTCGAAAAGTGTCAGCGGACATAGACAAGCACCCTAGTCGGTTTCACATTCAAAGCCCAGGTGAGAAAGGATGTAAGAAATTCAGAGCATCATGTGCCGCAGGCAAAGCTTTGCAAACGCGAAAAGTGAAAGCACATTGCTGCCCAATAAGAAGTGTGGCGAGCCTGCTGGGAAACATATGGAACCAGGGAAGTTGCAAAGCACGAACACACAGCTAAATCCAAGTGCACTCCGGATTGACAGGAAACAGAGTGAGCCTCCTGTGGCTGACCGGTTTGCGCTTAGTTCTTGACGAACATCGCGCGATTCACACTTTCCGCCGGCAAATGATGAAACATAGATAAAGAAGCCCACCCAAAGCTTGCAAAGGTGCAGCCTGATAACCGCCAGTTTCCGGCCTTAGCAAGCCGGCATTGCCGACTTGCGCAAAGACCACAGAGACCCGTTTGCAGCGCCTAGTTCAGACTTGGCATGGTTCTACAATACCGCTCTTCCCCCGGCAACCTTCAGGGCATCGTAAAGGGCGACAAACAGAATCGTCCGCACGGCGTTCTCGAATACTGAGCGGCGCCTGGACTCCCGGCAATCAACGGGAATTCCGAAACGGCCATGGGTCATAACCTATGCCTCCATTTTGGGGAGGCTGAACACCCAAGTAAAAACCTGTCTTGATGTTCACCAGGGGTACAGGGTTTTGACCCACGGCCAAATGATGTCATTGGATACATGTTGAAACCATGTCCAGCAACTGGTCCCCAATCAGCATGCCATGGTGAGTTTGTGGGCGGAGGCCAGTTTGCAGTCCCAATGCCACCCTGATTCGTCGTGTTCAATCGTCTGGATTGTGTGGAAGGGATATATGTAAGGGCCACTTCGATGTTGTTCCTCCAGCGGCGCAACAGGCTGCGCGGGCAATTAGAAACAACATCGCTTAGTGGTTTTTGCCTTTCATGAGAACTGTCTCCGTTGTGCCAAATGTTTGGCAAGCTGGCAGATGCAGCCAGCACGAACAACTGTGTGAAAGCGATTGGAGCCAAACGGCAGCAAAGATGTTTCTCTTCGAGCCGCACTGGTGAGTTAATACGAAAAACCCAGGGTATCTGAAGGCCGGGAACATGTCCAACCCAAAGGACCATGCCTGAATTGTCCCCCCCCCTCCCCCCTAAATGAAGTCCACCAAAAGTTCCCCAGTGGAATCCACACGACCAAAACCCGCTGCAGTCAAAAATGGCCCCCGGAAGGTGCAGAGCCACCTCGCTTCGGCACCTGCGGTGTGGGTGCCGCCCAGTGGCGGAACTGGGGTTCACATTTTTCCTGGGGCTGTTGTTTCAGGTGGGATTGGTTCAAAGGCGGAGTGCCTCAACTGGGGTCAACTGGGGCTGTTGTTTTTGTTGACAATCTTTGTGGGATTGGTTCAAAGGCGCACCAAAAGGAGCAAACCGCTTCTTTCGCGATGGTTTTTGCAGAATTTTGACACATTCCCATTTGCAGATTTGTTGGAAGGAAGCAGCTGACACAATGTGACCCTAAGAGGATTTTTACTTCCAGGCACCTCGAATTGGGTTCTGTGTTGGTTGGCACGAGGGCAACCGGCAACCATGTTACTCCTTCATAACAGAATCAAAAGACGGTGTGGAGATGTGCTGTTCAGGAAGCCTTCCAGTATGGGCAGCCTGCCAGTTCGTTTCAGAAGCTCTTTGCCTCAGAACCCTTCGGTTTTTCCGAACATGGAAACCAGGAACCTTCAGACCCATTTGCAGCCCCTGATTGGACCTTGCGAAATCCCATGTGGCAAATGAGATCGCCTCCCGACGCAATTTGACCGAAGGCGACACCCTTAGGGGTGGGAACCCGATGGCCCCTGGTGTTTAAGGATAGTTGGTTTGTGTGTTTTTGTTTTTGTTTTGGATAGAAAAAGCAATGTTTGTTTTGAGGGAGGATTCCAGAAGTACGGTGTTTGGATCTATGCGAAGTCAAGATAAGTTATTGTGTCGTTTATTGGTGGGTATGTCCACCCCCTCAAAGATGGAGTTTGCTGGGGTAACCCCCTAAATTTAGGTATATATCTTATGTTTCTTTGTGGGGAAGTAGATAAATAAAATGGGGAACCGCCCACCCTCTCCCCATGAACCCGAGAGATTGAATTTTACTCAATGCCCCTTGGAGCATGTGAGTCGCATGCAATCAGAGTGTGTGCTGCATCTGACGAGAGCCTCAAGAAAAGCCCCACGGGCCTGGCCCAGAATCTTGTCAGCATGAGCATGACGATTGAAAGGTCGATCGCTATGCGTGGTCGCACGACGGCAGATTTGCAAGCGACGGCTGGTGAGAGGCGCTTTCGGCAATCTTCGCCAAGGCGAAGGCCGCACTATGTGCTCTTGTGAAAGCTTGGATGGTCTGCCAGCCCTAAGATTGCTCCCTGAGAACGGTCTTCAGAATGAGAAGTGCAAGTTGAAGCCAAGCGGAAATTGGGGATCCCTGGAAAAGGAACCCATTTTGCATGGCTCTATGCTGGGCTTAGAGTTTTGGGCTGGTTCTAGGGTTGGCTTTCAGGTTGACTTGGACTGGACAGATTTCCGAGGCTGCTTCAGTGGTTGAGGCCAGGCTTAGCCTAGGGTTTAGGCTTGGCTTACGGCTTCTGTTTTTTTACGCTTGGCTTTCTGTTGGTTTTCTGCGCTTGGGGGGGGGGGGGTATATTCAGATGGGCAAAGGATTCCATTGGCCTGCAACGAGAAATTAACGCCAGGCCCAAAAACCTCGAATGCGTGCGCTTCAAGACAGAAACAGCATCAGGAAACAGCCCAAATCACATGCTCCAAGTGATTTGAATGCTTATCAACTTCTGGACTGGGCATGTATTCTGAGAAGTTTGTGTCACCTAGTTGAGCAGAACGATTTTCACCCGACCATTCCATGAAAGACCTGCTACATCAGTTCTTTCATAGGGTGTCCTTTTTAGATTTGCTTGGCTGGAAATAGGTGGCCCTAGATCCATGTACCAGGGCCATCTATTGTGTAAAGTTCCGGAGTTTTCGGTGTGAATCATCCGACCGGATGGTCGCCGCATCCGGACACTCGGCAAAGCGGAAGCTGAGGCCCTCATCTGATTGCGACCTCGCAGCAGCCCCAGGTTTGCCTTGTCGACTCCCGAAAATTGAAAGAGGGACACCCCCCCTTTTTGCCAGACTTCGAGTCGCCTACTCCCCCAAAAAAGAGGGACACCACGTTGCCAGGCTTGGAGTCACCTTTTTGCCAGACTGCCCTCGGTTTTCTTTGACCTCCCTCAACAAATGTGCAATTAGATTGGTCGTCTAAGTCCGGCCACACCAAAAGGGTGTCCTACGTAGTACCCGTGCCAAAAACGGACACCACTTCAGATACGCAGCCTTTAGTTGAAATACAATGCAGCTCGAAGATCTTCGAGGAATATGTTTCGCATCAAACAAAGATGAACCAGCGGAAAGATATGGATGTTTCCTACAAGAAGGCCAATAAAAGTCTGACCAATTTATTTTGCTCCTTTGCGCACCAAAGCTGTCTTGTTGCATTTCCACAAAATGTGGGAAATCTTAGCCCCCCCCCCATATCACAGGAACGCGCAGGGATAGCAGCTGTTCACAGGGAGACTTTTATATACAGGATCGGAGCCCCGTGCATGCCCGAGTCAATTCCATTTCCCGTTTGCTGCACTGCATGCCCATGAACAACGCACTTCTTTGAAAGCAGGCTTGCGTGTTCCTGTATCCAAGCCCGTCTTGTCCCTTTCCCGTACGGCGAGGCACTGACAATAGCAATGGCCATTGCGCAATTGTGAGACAAACATGGTGTTCAGGGGCGACCGAAACGGAAACCACCCAGTTTTCATGGGTTCTTCGAATTAGGACATGCTTATAATGTTGGTGGCTGCTCAAACATGCCGCGTCGCGGGATCACGGTAATCCTTCTCTCTGAGAGGAATACACGTGTTTGTTGTTCGTTTTCCTTTTGGCCCAACCCAGCAGATAACGCCAAACCACTTCCCCCAAAAGCAAAGGCCTCCCAGACTTCAATCATACAAACAGAACAACCGCAAAACCCTTTTGGCTGCAGGGCTTTCATGCTGGGAAGTCAAGTTGAGAAAGGCATGCTTGCAACAGGAGACCTGCTAAGTTACATGCATATGGCTTGATTGCCATTGGGTTGGATCTTTAGACGTTGACTTTTCGGGAAATCAAGGGGTTTTCCACTGCAGCCGCAAAAAAAGCTTTTTGCAGAGGCGTCACCAGCAACCAAGATGGTGGGTGTTTGTGTGTTGGTTCCCTTGAAGCTGACTTCTAATGTGGCCCAGGGCCTTGTTTAGCCCGAGGATGGCCATTTCATGGACAAGCTGGACGCGGCCGTGGATCAAATGATCAAAGGCCAGCGAGCCGTTTGGTCTCTTTTTGTGGTTTTTTTTTTCCCCCGAGCGTGGATGAGCACCCTGGGGTCAATATGATGGTTTAGTTCTGAAAAACGGCGTTTTTTGGGCTCGAATGGAAGTTAGATCAGCCATAGACCTATGCTCATCGAGGTATATATTGAAAAGTGAGCTAAGTCTCAGAGCCGAAAAGTTGTGGACGAAATCCATTTCGCACCACCTAAGAAACCCTGGAATGATGATTCCTTCTGTGAATACCAACAACAAATGGTTCCCCATGGTGTCTTGGGTGGTGCAGAATGTTGTCCACGGCTGCTGTGTCCAAGTCAGAGATAGAAGCAACAGCACACCCACCACGCTTCAAAGGTGGAGAGCAGTTGGAGAAGCACCCACAGGTATGGCATGGGGAGTCTGCTTGGGTGTGTGTGATTTTGGGGCTACCAAGGGAAACCAAAAGGAAACCCAGGTTTTTTGGGGGGGTTCCCCTATGTTGAGACCCATTTGCGGCCCGCAATCTAGGCTCAGATCTTGCGCTCGAAGCCCGGTGAGGCATTTGTGCGGCAAAATGCAAAGAGAACGTGAGCTCGTTAGGTTTGTCTCCAAATAGACCCCTTGGTTGGAGAGAAAAAGACGCACAACAAGGTTCCCTGTATGGAATAAGTAGCCCAAACCAGACAGCTCCAAGGCAAAGGGTGCTTTTTGCGGGGAGCATGAGATGGCCCAATCGGCAAAGAAAACGAGGGCCCCTTTCGAGACCCAACCATGCTGACCTGCGGGGCTTCAAAGAACTTCACAACGCCCAAACGGTAGGGTGGCAAAAAAAACAGTCCCACCAAAATATGAACAGAATCAAAAATAAGACAAAACTTGAGCCAAGAACAGTAAAGATAAGAAAAGCCAATATGAGCCAAAAAGTGGCTCTAAAAACGAAAGCCAAACGCTTTCAAAAACCCAACCACAACCAAAACCACTCAAACACACCCTCCTGGACGAAAATGCTTGGGGCCTTTTGAAAACAACCGCCATCTCTGGAACAGGTCCGGCGGTAAATTCTGAGCCTGATCAAAACACCTTTGGGGCAGAAACTTGGTGTGGCTTCCTTTGGTTTTCCCCTAGCAAAGTCAGCCTCGCCTCGGGTCTGCGGAGCAACGTTGGTCTCATGTGGGTGTGGGTCAAAACCGTTTTGGGATCCCATTTTGGGGTAGGTGCACCACCCATTTTAGAACCTATTTTAGTGGGGATTGGGATGTTCACTGGAGGTACGGGATTTTTGACCCATGGCCATGTCAATACCCCTTGGTCTGAAATGTATCCCTTGTTTCGACGCTGCCACAGAGCCAGGGAGCGTGCGCCGGTTGACCTACGGGGAGAAGGCCGGGAGATGAATTGTGGCCAATGGAATGCAAGATCAGTGGTAAGTACTTGTTGCCTGTTGCTCCCCTAAAGATTTGCAACTCAACGGTGTGATCCCGGAAGAAGTTTTTTAATCAAGATCTCTTCTTGGGAAGAGCCCGTCTGTCAATTTTCAGAGTGCGGCTGCAACACGTTAGTTCCGTCGGTCCATCAACTCGAGCCAGGGATTTGGTCCTTTCTCCCCGAGCCTTTCAGCTCAGTTTCTGCACCCAAATGCTTTCGATTCACTTGCCAGAAAGTTGGTGTCCAACAATGGCTGACGCAGGAGAGGAGCCTTCCGAGTTTGGGGAAAGCCATTGCGGTGGGACAAGAATGCTCAAATTGGATTGGGGAGGGTATCAGGGCACTTATAGCAGTCAAGCGGACGTTCGGCGTACAAGATCGGCAGTACTGACAGTGACCTTCCAGGTTTGCACTTCCATATATATTGTCAAGAAAGCTCATTCTTTGAGGTGAGCGGGCTGAAGGTCGTGAAGTTGCTTCCTTTGGGCACTGCTGGCACCTATTCAAGTTTCTGAGTTTCTGGGCAGAGCGGTCAAGATGACTTCGCAAAGGGCAAGCCCAGCTTTGGCCGTGACTCTCATGCCCCAGGTGATGGCATTGATGCCACACTGCAAAAAGCAACAGGGAATAGTCAGCTCACTCAGTTTCTTAATTATTGATTTGTTGCACTTAATTTGAACAAAACTGCTGTTTGTCAGTCATGTGTTCAGCATCGCTTAGAACATGCCCACACTCGCAAATCCCGCGCCACTTGGTAGGCGGGGCTTGTCCCACTGTTCCCACCAAGATGGGGGATGTGAATATTGCTTCCCAAATTATGAACGGTGATGTTTTGCGCTAGGTCGGGCTTCAAAGGAATCGGGAATCGCATTCTGCCCGTGGTATCAAGCTGCATATGGCGGCAAAATACTGCTCGCCCGCAAGACGCCTGCCGCATCCCATGATGCTGATGTGTGCAAGCCCGCGTGGCCCTTTGGCTTTCTTATCATAAATGCGAGCGGGTTTCGCATGCATGTCCTGCCTTTGCTTCCTTTGGCTGAGATGTTCTTCCAAAATCCTCCGACCTTTGCTTGGTAAGTTTACCTTCCAAGGTCGCCAAGCAACCCAAAAACACAAACACAAAACATTTGGTTCATTCCAGGTGCCTTGGGATCATTTGTTCACCCTACCAGGTGGAGCTGGGGCCGGCAGGGCCGCCAAAAGACCAGGCGGGCGGGCGACCGGCGACCCATGCCATCCATCTCGCCCAACCACCGTCGCGCAGGCCGGTAAGATCACTCAGCCAAGGAACCAGACATGAAGGTCGATGGATGGCTTTGGCCTTCTGGATGTTGAGGGTCAATAGGATCCAAGCTGCTCGAATTCGCATGAGAAATTCTCAAAATGGTGGAACCCAGTTTGGTTGGCAGAAAAAGGGAAACCAAAAGGAAACCATCTGTTTTGCGGACTCTGTGAGAGCACCCACATCTCCAAAGAGTTGCCCAAATGTTTTTATTGCATCAACAGCGCCCAGCCACCATCACTTTTTTTTTTGCTCGCGTTTGGTTCGCTTGGAGGCCTCGTAAGCAATCACAACTTTTGGACCAGAAAGCACTGCCGAAGTGGGGCTTGAGACGGTTGAGATTTTGCCCTTGGTGTTCCACCCTCGTGATCAAGGCACCAAAGAGGGCTCATTTGGGCCACTGACAGTTCAAAAGTCCAGTTGAGTCCAAGATAGACGCCAACCTGAAACCCCTAGACGCACGCCCTTTTCCCTTACAAGTAGAGCCGAACAGGGGGACTCCGAAGCCCCATGTCCCACGGGCACGCGAGTGGATCTTTGCGAGTTCTCGCGCATGTCGCCTTATTTGGGCCTTGAATCAGGAGTGGAATTTCCGCGCGTTCCAGTCAGAGGGCTTTCGAAGGACCAGGTCATTTGTGGGTCCCGAAAAGTTGGCGACCCGTCCTAAGAATGGGCACCCCCTGTTTGGTAGGGAAAATTTGCCCAATTCCAAGGGTCCCATCTGGCCTTGGGGCCGGAAGTCGGGTTTGCTTTTGCAAGGACTTTTTGTTCCATGGCCATGCCTAAACGATTTCCCTTATGTTGGGAGACGCATGGGTGTTTCGGAAGATCTTCGCAAGAACCCTTGGTCGTGGTGTTGAGAAAATCTCCAGCGTACCACAGTATCAAGCCAAGACTGACAAGCGTATGTCAGGAAAGTATTTGGGTACCAAAGGCAGGCAAGGCTTGTCCCAATCAATGGCAAAGGGCTTCGGGCTTCTTCAGGCCAAACAAGTCCTGAACGCTTGGAAGGGTATAAAAAGGGCCCGAAGAAAAATCCCTGGGCAGTACCAAACATGGGTGAACTCCTGCGTCGGAAACCCCTGAAACTCGGAAATTCCTGCGCCAGGGTTCCGTTTTTTGACTACCCCAAAGTCGACTTAAGCCCAGGGGTTTCCCTTTTGGGGAAATCAGCCACCCTGGGTTTAAGTCGACTTTGGGGTAGTCAAAAAATGGAACCCTGTCCTGCGCCCCGAGCTCCTTCAGGGCGCGTCTCTGATGAAAGCCGCCCCCCGGCTGCCGCTGCAGCTCGCCGAGATACGGCAGCAGGGGCCTCAGGCCGAAGGCGCCAAATGGCCATGGGTCAAAAAATCTCAATCGTACCCCCAGTGAACATCCCAATCCCCACTAAAACGTGAACCTTTGATTTCCGAGTCCTTTGACAGCTGAGTTAAGGAAGGTTTCGAAAGCGGCCAGAAGCGTGTCTGCGATTTGTTTTGGGATGTTCGTTGGAAACTTGGTCCCCCAGTAGTGCCCTTTTACCCTTTTTCGGGGGAGGGTTCCCCAACTAAAATCGACTACAGAAAAAAGGGTACCCTTCTGGATTTCGCTGCCCAATTCGTCCAGGACTTCCCTGTCGTTTTTGCCGGCGACTTCCAAGCGGACCCCCTGTCCTATGCTTCGCTTGCGGACGCTTGCAGCACGGGGGCTTGGGTCGACCCTTTGGCCCCTATGGCCTGCGACGACACCCGTGCCCCTACTTTTTGCCGTGACAAGCACTGGACCCCTGAGGTCCCTACTACCGCTATTGACACGGTTTTCCTCAGTGAGCATGCGCTCCATCTCTTGGAACAGGCCTGCGTTACTCCGCTCTGTGGCTACCAGCACGCCTCTGTCTCGCTTACCTTCTCTGCTCCTACTGAGACCCCTCGTGCTGTTGCCTTTGCGTCCTTTGCCCCTCTGGACTTGACCGCCCTGGCTTCTCCTGCCCAGATAACTCAATGTGCGGAGGATCTGTGGCAGCAAAGCTACAGTAGCGGCCTCACTGAGGCTAGCAACTCGGAGCAGGCCTGGGCCCTCTTTTCTGACTTTGCACTCCGTGTGTTGGTGGACTCTGGGGCCAAGTGGGGCAGGGGGATCCGCACCCGTGGATCCCTACCCCCCGTTCGGCCCAAACGCTCCCCTGAAGCGGCCCTGCCCCCTTCGCACCCCATCACCCTTCACGCGCGCCTCCTGTCTCTTGCACGGGAGCTCTTCTACCGCTTGGCTCGCTTGCCGGTTACCACGGTGCCTGATGCTGCTGTCACGTGTGCCACCATCCGGCGGTTCCGCCGGCTTGCGCGCGACCTTCGATTTCCTTTGGAATCTGAGGATCTCACACCTGGCGGCACTGCCCATCTCTGCGAGAGAATCGAGTGCCGGCTCCAGGAAGTCACTCGTCAGAGGCAGCGCGCCTCCTACCGCAGGTGGAAGGAGCGTCTCCGGCACTCTGCCCTGCATACTGGGAAGGCTGTGTTTCAACACCTTGCCAAGGCGGCTGCCACGTCCTCTCCCAACCTTCTTGCCGGGCAGGATGGTCTGCCTGCCTACCATCCTGCGGACGCACTCGAGCATGCCGCCCAGCAGTGGAACACTGTCTTTGCCGTCCACGCTGGCGGCATCCCGGTCGAACCACTCATGAGGCCTATCCAGCACCTGCTCGAGCGGCAGGACCTGGCTCGCTCCATCTGCGCTCGGAGTGTGGACTCTTCTGCCGGCCTTGATGGCTGGTCCGCACGGGAGCTCCAGGCTCTCCCGCTTCGGGTGCTGCAGGTCCTTGCCTCACTCTTCAACAAGGTGGAGGCGGGCTTGTGGTCCATGCCCCGTATCTTCAGCACGGCCAGACTTGCGGTGCTGGACAAAGGAGCGGGCCCCAGCCCTCTCTCTAAACGCCTCATCGCTGTCCTTCCCATCACCTACCTTGCGTGGTCCTCGGCTAGGTTCCGTGCCTCCTCTGCGTGGCAACGCCTTGTGCTCCCTGCTGAAGTCTGTGGCGGGGTTAGTGGTCGCCGGGTGGATGACATCACCCACCACCTTGCTCTTGATCTTCATGAGGCTAAGGCGACCAATGAGGTCTTTGCGGGCATCCAGATCGATCGCTCTAAGTGCTTCGACCGCCTGCTCCCTAGCCACACTGTTGCTATCCTTACGGCTTTGGGCTTCCCAGCCTCTGTGGCCAATGCCTGGCGTTCCAACTACTGCGACTTCAGGCGCTATCTCTCCTGGCGGGGAGCCATCCACCCTACTCCCTTGGCCAACTGCAACGGCATCGCCCAGGGCTGTTCCCTCTCGGTCTTGGCGGCAAATGTCTTGATGGCTGCCTGGGCTCTTCTCATCAGGCATTTCCCTGGGGTTGAACCCCGGGTCTATGTCGACGACGGCTACATGTCCGTCTCTACGCCGGACGCCATTCCCTCCCTTGTGCAGGCTGTCAGGGCTACTTCCCTTTTTGATGGCCTCTCTGGTCAGCTTTTCAACCTCCACAAGTCTGGCTGGTGGACTACTCATGAGTCGCCTGCCTTGCAGCTCCAGGCCGCTCTCCCCGGTGCGCCACGTTTGCGCTCTCTGCGACCACTCGGCGTGTGCATCAACCTGGATTTGCGTGGCACTAAGGATGCTCGGGCTCCCGCGGTTGGTTCCGGGCAGCCCTCAGGGCCATCCGTGTGTTGCCCCTCTCTCCCTTCGCCAAAGCCACCTTTGTTGCTCGCAAGGCCATGCCCATGCTCACCTACTCTGCGGAACTAAATTTCGTCCCCCGTGGGCTTCTGTCTTCCTTGGCTACCGAGGTTGCGGGTGTCCTGTGGGATGGTCGGCCTGGCTGGCGTTCCCGTGAGTTGCTCCTTGCTGTTGTCCACCGGGGTCATCTGGTGCACCCCGAGTACGCCATGGCGTACCGCGCCGTACTCAATGTGGCCTCCCACCTCCAGCGCTCGGAGAAGTTCGCCATCCAGTGGCGGATCGCCTTTACCAATCCCAGGATTATGCCTTCCACGCTGGTCTCCAACGTGATTGCTGCGGTCACTTTGTGTGGTTTGCGTTTTCGGGCCCCTGCGGATGTGGCCCTTGCTTCGGGACCATGGATGTCCCTGTTTAGTGTCTCCCTCCGCTCCCTGGCAAGACTCCTGCAGTGGACCATCGCTCAGCACGCCTACCAGCGCGCCTACCGCGGCAAGCGTGCGGATATTGTCTCGGGGCCGTCTGGCCTCCTTGATGTTGCGCTCACTCGCTCTCCGACCTGGCCGCATCCCCAGGATGTCGCTTCTGTGATGGCGCTGATGAGACGCTGGCACACCTTGTGCAGTGCAGTGCCCTCCATGCTCGCATTGGTTCGCCGCCTGCCCAGCGTGAGGATCAGGGCCCTTCCTTCTACACTCATGCCTTAGCTGAAATCCCTGCGGACCTTGCCCATGCCGCTCTCCGGGCTGTGCCCGCTACCACCCCGTTACCCAGGTACGGCGGCGGGAATGTCCATCTGTGGACTGATGGCAGTGTCTACCTGCCTCACCACTTGCTCTTCGCTGCTGCGGGCTTTGCCGTGGTGAGTGCCTCTGCTGGTGTGTGCGCTTCTGGTCCTGTTCCGGGCCCCCTGGCGGACAACTACCGTGCTGAGGTCTACGCCATTTTGCATGCCGCTCAGCTTGCTCGCGGTCGGCTCACTGTTCACACCGACTCCCAAGCTGCGGTCTGCGCCTGGCATGGCTTTCACCTGAGGGGGTGTGTGCCTCCCAATGCTGCGGCGGCTGACCTCTGGCTGCCCCTTTGGGACTTGGTACGCCTGCGTGCCACCTCTGGTTTTACTCTGACCCTCCACTGGATCCGGGGCCACCTGCCTCTTGACCAGTGCCCTGGATCGGTGAGCTCATGCATGCGCGTTGTAACCATGCGGCTGACCGTGCGGCCAAGCGGGCGGCGCGTGCTTCCCTTGCCCTTCCTATCTGTCGCATGTCTGCCTTGTTCTTCTCTGCCTATCGGCGCCATCGCTGGCTCCAGCAGCTCTTCCTTGCCTTGGCGGCCACCCCTGTTCCTCCTCCGCCCCCTGAGCCCCCTGATCCCGAGGTGCCCCCCCCTGAGGCCCCCATTGCCCTAGGGTTAGATGTAGAGACTGAGCCTTGCCATGGCTCGACTGTGCTGCATGTTGAGAAGCTCCTCACCAAGCCGCTGGACTGGCCTCATGGCTCGCTGCAGTGGTGGGCTTGGAACAAGGCCTTGAGCTCCGCTACGTGGACGATTCGCTGCGGGGACTTCCAGCCCGGTCTGGAGGCCGCTCGTGAGGAAGTGCATCGCCCGGCGCAACCCGGACGCCTTCCCCCACTTCTGGGGGCCGCGGCTTGGCCGCTATGCTGGGGTCACCTGGCCACGTGGTGCTTGGCCTGGCGTCTACCTCCAGCGCACTGACGCGGAGCACAAGTGGCTTCAGCGGGTCCTACTCCGGGCCTCCCGCCTCGGCAGAGTGCCCAGAGATTGGGAATTCTCGCTGGGCGCTGTTGCGTGAGGAGGCCCTGCAGCCCTGGGCAGCTGGTGCTGGTGTCGCCCCGTGACCCTGGCCTACTGTCAGCTACTTCCAGAACTATGTGCATGCCCCGCTCCCCCAGGCACCCCTTCCGGGGGTGGCTGGTGGGCCGGGCCTTCGACTTTGAGATGTGTGCACCAGTGGACTGGGGGTCCCACCCCCTTTCCACTGGTGGTTGGCCTGCTTGTTTCACACCCCCAGTTGAGTCTCTCCTGGGGGTCTGTGCGCGGGGCTCTGCCCCTCTTTTCACCGGTAGTAGGGCGGCATGCCCTACGACCCACGCGCGACAGACATTCGTGCGTCACGAGCCAAAAGGGTACCCTTCTTCTAACCTCTCTGCTAAAGGACCTAGGAAATCATTTGGACAAGGTTTGGGCATTTGGAACATGTCGAATGCTTGAGAACGTGCCTTGCGAAAGAAAAAACCAACCTCTCTATCGCTTCGAATGCTTCGAACGTTGGAACCTGACTCTTCGAACGCTTCGCACGTTCAGTGTCTAGAAGCTCCAGCCTGGGAGGGCCCTGACGGTTGTATCCAGCGTGCCGAAGCGTATTTGAGCTTGAGGCGCCATTTCTTGGCTTGAAATGCCACCAGGAGTGAATGCGGGGAGGTCACACACACGCGCACGCTCCTCTTCTTCTTCTTCTTCTTCTTCTTCTTCTTCTTCTTCTTCTTCTTCTTCTTCTTCTTCTTCTTCGTCTTCGTCTTCGTCTTCGTCTTCTTCTTCTTCTTCTTCTTCTTCTTCTTCTTCTTCTTCTTCTTCTTCTGCTTCTTCTTCTTCTTCGTCTTCTTCGTCTTCTTTGTCTTCTTCTTCTTCTTCGTCTTCTTCTTCTTCTTCTTCTTCTTCTTCTTCTTCTTCTTCTTCTTCTTCTTCGTCTTCGTCTTCGTCTTCGTCTTCTTCTTCTTTTTCTTCTTCTTCTTCTTCTTCGTGATTCATTGATCCCACCGTTCAGTCATGGATGTGTATGATGGATGGCCTTCCATGAGCTTGAACAGTGAGAGTCGATAGGCAACTCCGACAGCTGACCTTGGACTGCGATCGCTTGCAGGCAAGGAATGCGGCAGGTTGGTCCATGGTTCTGCTTTAGAAGAGGATGCTTTTATCACAGATATGTTCCAAACCTGCGGTCACTGAGCGCCGTGTTAGCAACACCTTGAAACGAGCGGTGAATTGAAAGAATGAGCTTTGCAGCAGGAGACAGGAGATGATCCTCATCAAGTCTTTGTCAAACTGGCGCTGGCGGTTGTTTTTGTTTCTACATCAGGGCTTCCTCCAGGAATTTGGTTTGCTGCTTGTTTTTCAGTCATGTTGCGCTATTTTTGTTTGTCTGGCTGCCATTTGCTTACGCTGGGCTGAGCCGGAGGCACTTGCCGGGGACATCCCGGAGGAAGAGGCGGAGCCCCTGGAGAGTGTGGAAGCGGAGCGGGAAGCTGAGTCGGCATCACTTCCGGTCAGTTGGGTCCATTTGGGGAGGTTCCATGGTTGTTGTTGGGACACATTTTACATTGTTGCTTGTTGTGGTTTAGTCGGAAATCCAACCACTGAACTGCTAAAGTTTAAATGTTTGCTCCCCTTCCAACGTCAACCAAGGTTCGGAACATGGGACGAGCTCTAAATCGCAATCACTGGGGGGAGGTGGAACTGTTTTCCTTTTTCGGCCCTTTACGAGAACCAATGGCATAGGTCATAGGTTGAGAGTGAAACACAAGTTTCACTGGCAGTCACGAAGAGCCCAACCAGGACACCGGCTATTTGGAGGGGGTGTCACTTGTAACTGACAGCTGTGAGTCTGTGAGGCCACAAAAAAGCATCCCTTGTCCAAGGGATCCCTCGCTCCGGTGTGGTTTGCAGTGCTTGCCTTGTGACGCAGATGGCATCACTTGCCTTGTGAAGACCCCGCAGCTCCGTGAAGTGTTGAAAGAAGCGGCCCTTTGGCAACTGTGGAGATCCGGGCGCAACTTCTTGGTGAATGTGTTGGATTGGGCTTGCTTGCTTGTTTTGCTGATTTATTCAGGTGTTATTGGACACAGGCGCAGCACTTGACACGCGCGCGGCGTTGAGGCATGCCAGTGCCATCAGCTCCGCGAGGCTCGGGCAGAGATGGGCACGGCTTAAGGTCCGCCAGCTGGCGCACTGCTGAAGCACATGCGCAGGCTACAGCATGAAGTCCATGACACACATCGCAGTTGCCGCTTTGGCTATGTATTTGACAGTGATACTGACAGTGGCATTTGCACAGTGCAACGTACAGTGGACTATGTGATTGACAGTATCGAGGCAGTGTGACGTTTTTGGAGGAAGCACTCTCACGCAGTGCTTCTGGGCAAAGCAAAGACTGTACAGATGCTCAAGTGTCGCTCCATCAACAAGGTACACCTTCAACAAGGATTGAGGGACCATGGATACGTTTGGAGTGGGCTTTCTGTGTCCTCGATAAGCCTTGAAAGCACACAGGGGCCCATGTTTGGTCCAGAGTCAGCCATCTCTGTCGTCACTCCTAGAAGACTACCTGTGCAGTTTGGCTTTCATCCGATAGTGGTTGGGGTTCAATTCGGTTCAGATTGTTTTTTGGGGACCGCACCGCAAAATGCGAAAACCCAAGTTCCTGTCAAGGGGGTCCCCAGCTTCAACTCATACCCAAACGTCCGCATAAATCCAGATGCGTAGGCGGAGGTACCGCAACTGGTCCCAGCAAACTTCCAAGTGCCGGGACACTGGTAGTTGGGCAACGTTCCATGAAATCTGAAAAGGTCGTCCTTGAAAAAGGAAACCCACGCACTTGTGGAGTCTGCATCTCGTTGCCAGAATACACTCGCCCTTGGGTCTTCGTTGCGGGGGGGGGGGGGTCCTTTGTTTTCCATTTTGACCGGCCAAAAGTTGACTTTGTGCGGGTCCAAGTCCGGCGATTGCGGCATCCAGTGCGTAGCCGCCAGTCGACTGCTGGACGCTCTGAGCTCTGATCCGGATCCGGAACTCTGAGTAGAGGCCCCAGATGGCAAGAGGATGTCCGGCTATAAGGGCCAAGAATGGGGTTGCGGGGTACGATGACATAGTTCGGAGAGCAATGTTTGCGGTAATCAGGCCTTGGTATATTTCCCCACCACCCAAAGAAGGGCAATACAAACACAGGAAACAATTGCCGGTGAGCAAAGGTCATTAATTCCACGTTCCATTGAAAATGTCATGGAAGTCCTTGCGAGCTTTGACCCTTTTGAAAGCAGACGCCAAGCGAAGGTCCGCAGATAGCTGTGGCTCCCTGCAACTTTGGCTTCGCCATGTGCGATCGTTCGCGGTCAGGCCCTGCAATCTGGGACTTTGTGAAAGCAAGGGAACCCTTTTCGTGATTGGTTTCCACTTGGACTTTTGTTTAATTGAAACACAGAGTAGTTTTGGTTTGACATACGGCAATGTGGTAGGTTGCCAGACAATTCCGCTCTATTAAGTCATCCAGGAAAATAGTGGGATGGCTGAGCACAAGGGCTAACAAAAAGACAATTGTTCAAGAAAGGGCGTGATAGGAGTGTGTTCAAAAGGAAAACCCAACCATTTCAAGGGGGGGGCAACCCTTTGTTTTTTATCCGCTGAGTTCCTTTTACCGGGGCCGTACGAATCCCGTTCCTCGGAGGCGTTGAGCGAGAGAAAGCCTAATTCAATTGCAGGCAAATACTCGTAGCTGCCATGAGGCAGCATACGATGGTTCTTTGCGTGCGTAACATACTTAGCGTGAAATGATATACCTTATCAAGGATAGTCTGAAACATAAGCAGCTCCTAGTGGTATATTGGCTCAGTAGTGACTCTTTGATCGGCATAGTCTGTACTTTTGCATATTTGCATATAGTCTTAATATTCGTTGTTGAATTGCCCGCATTTAAGAGAAATGTGTAATTAAATTATCAAATGTCGATTATGGCAATAGATATATATCACAAATATAGATATATATATTTTGGATGGGGAGGGATATATAATTGAATTGATAAATTTAACATATATATATATATTAGAAAGAATTTATTAATTTTATTAACGATAATATTAAAAAAAGAAATTAGAAAGGAAGGAGAAAAAAAAAAAAGAAAGAAAGAGAGAGAGAGAAAGAAAAAGAAAGAAAGAATGAAAAAGAGAAACAGAAACAAAGATAGAGATAGGGAAATAGGCAATTAAATAAGCAAGAATAATGGTGATAATAATTAGAAACGAAAAAAAAATAGGGTGAAAGGAAGAAAATGGAATTTAAAAGAGTATTTTTTACAAATATATTTAATGTATTTTTAAATATGATTTAGCTTAAATAAGGTTAAGAAAGTAAAGGGTATATCTTTAGATTTCTAAATTGGGTTTAGAGATGTAATGGTATAGATAGAGCTCAGAGTTTTTATTTAAAGGAGATTTTAAATTTTTAGGTTTATATAAGTTATAGAATTTTTTAAAAAATAAAAATAAAAAAAAACTTTTGGTATATTTATAATTTTTTTGAAAACCAATATTTTAATTAAAGGCCAAAATTAAATTTGAAATAGATTTTGTTTTTTTAAATTATTGTTTTTTGGAATAAAGCAAAATACAATATAAAAGTATTGTTATATAGAAGGTAAAACATTAAGAGAAATATTGAGAAGAAAGGAAAGGTAGATTTTGGCGGAGGTGATTATATATATATATATTTATATATGGCTTATTTAAAGAATTCGCCGATCTTTTTTCCTAAAGAGGAGGCATAACGGGAGGGTGATTATTATTATCGGCATTATCGAGATATTGGGGATTAGGGTATAATTCGTCCTTTTAAATCTTGCGCCAAGTTGCTTATTTGCGGGTCTAGGATTTAGGGTCTGGTGCAAGAATATCGATCTTGCCCTACCTAGACCCCCTAGACCTTAGACTTAGAGCTAGCCCAAACTAGCGCAAATTGTTTCAAATCTTAATGACTCAAATGGCATCTGAGGTGGGGTACCGTTTCGATGCCGGTTAAGAATCAAGGTGGTTACGAGATCTTGTAGAGTCCACTTGACATACAAGTGATACATAGTCATGATTATGATTATCGTTGCTGGAGATGCTGGGGATGCATAATGATGATTACCCTCATGACTGCCAGAGATGCTACGAATGATGCGTAATGATAATTATCATCATGGCAGGACTCCAAATCTTAAGGACCCAAATCGTATCTGAGACGAGGTGCCGTTTCGATAGTGATACATAATCATGATTAGCGTTATCAATATTATCGTCATTATCATCGTAATCATCACCATTTCTTTCTATATTTTTATATTTTATATTATTTATTTGAAGTATGGCGTTAGAAAGCATTGGCCATGCAAAATTTATGTCGTTATGATTCTTATAATGACTATTAGCCGAATTGAAATGCAAGAGATGCATGGACATGATTATTATGAGGGTTGCTGGACGGTTATATCCTTTGTCATCATTATTATTATGGTCATTTTATGATCATTATAAGGATCATCATCATGTTTTTTTGTATTTCAAAAGTAATGTTAGACACCATTGGCAATGCAGAGGATACTACAACGATAATTCTTATCACAGTCCTCATCACTATCATCATGGTTATCATCATCTCTTATTAGCCGGCACTGGTGATGCCGAGGATATTACGATATTATTTATCCTCGCACTCCTCATCCTTGTCATCATTATCATTATGGTCATCATGGTCATTATCGTCTCTTTTTAGTCGACACTAATAATGCCGAGGATATTACGATAATATTTATTATCACAGTCTCATCCTTGTCATCATTATCATCATAATCACCATCATCTCTTCTTAGCCGGCATTAGTAATGCCGAGGATACCACAAGGATATTTATTATCACAATTTTTATCCTTATTATCACTATCATCATGGTCGTCATCATCTCTTATTAGCCGCGTTACTAATGGTGTCTAACGTTACTTTTGAAATATATATAAGATTAATAAGAATAAGAAAGAGATAATGATGATCATCATAATGATAATGAGAAAAACGATGATAATGATGATGATTATAGCATCCTTGGCATCAGAAGTGCCGGCTAGTAAGAGATAATGATGATTATGATGATAATGATGACAGGATAAGGACTGTAATAATAAATATCATCGTAGTATCCTCGGTATCATCAGTGCCGGCTAATAAGAGACGATGATGACCATGATGATAATGATGACAAGGATGAAGACTATGATGATAATTATCATCGTAGCATCCTCGGCATCACCAGTGCCAGCTAATAAGAGATGATGATGACCATGATGATAATGATAACAAAGATGAGGATTGTGATGATAAATACCATCGTAGCATCCTCGGCATCACCAGTGCCGGCTAAAAAGAGATGCTGATAACCATGATGATAAGGATAATAAGGATAAGGACGTAACATCTTCTGCATTGCCAATGGTGTTTAATATTACTTTGATGATGCTGATAACGACCGTTATCATGATGATGGTAAGGATGATCATGATAATGACTATGATAATAATGATGATAAGGATAAGGACTATGATGACAACTATCATCGTAATGTCCGGCATCACCAATTCCAGAAGATGCTACGACGATAATTATCATCAGAGTCCTCATCCTTATCATCACTATCATCATGGTTATTATCATTTCTTATAAGCCGGCACTAATGATGCCGAGGATGCTATAAAAATATTTATCATCACAGTCTTTATTCTTATCATCATTATCATTATTGGCTATGCATTTCAAAAATAAGCGTAGTCGAGATCACCCGGTTTACTTCTTTTTGGGGGGGGGGGGTCTAGTGCTAGGGATGCAATATGATAATTGTCAGCGGATTTGATGTCAACATCATCGGCTTCTTCAGCATCCTTTTCACAATCGTAATCAATACCATCGTATCATCATAGTCATCGTCTTCGTCACCATTGTCATCAATGTCATCACCATGATAATCATCATCATCCTCATCGTCATAATCATCATCATCATCATCATGGTGGCTATGAGCGTTGTTAGGGCCATCTAACCCATAAGCTCGGGTCTTGGCAGGCCAAGGCCAAAGGAATGATCACTTGGGCTATATGGGGTCGGCGGCACTGGGCGGCAGCCCTTACATCCGGCTACGCCTCCTTGGGGTAGCATGTCGCCGCTAGGCAATTAACCTGTTAGCTTTAGCTGTAGGGGGTGCACCCTGGTGCCGCCGACCCTCGTCACTTGGTCGTGATGCACTGCCTAAATCCGGCACCTCTGCATCAATAGCTCGGGCTTGCGGTTTTGCTTGCCTGTGGGAAACCCTCGCAAAACGTCGCGTATATGCAGGGTTTAGGCCATGTGGCTGACATCGTCAGGGTCTGGGGTTAGGCCTGGGCGATGCTTCAACGGGGCTTGGCTTGCATCATCAAGATTTCCTTCCAAAAAGCCTCTCAACCCATGAAGCACTGTTTTTAAAAAGGTATTGGAGGGGCATAAGCGAGACTCAGTTTTGCGCATTTTGGCGCCAAGTGCTGCCGGTCATGCCGGTGATGCTGGGTTCTCGCTCTCCAAAACGCTGTAAATACCGCAAAAAATTGCTGTGCTGAGCGTTGGGCTGTTGTTCTGTCCGTTTTGCTCTTGCTATGGCTGGCTTGCGTGCTGCGCAGTCCTTGCGTTTTTCCCGTTGGTTTTCGGGCTTTTTGGCGCGCGCGCGCGCGACCCCAGCCACAAAACGCTGCTATTTACGGCGGTTTGTTGCGGGCTGGCTTGCGGGCTGTTCTTTTTGGGCTGCTTTTTTTGGGTCCTCTAGCGCGCGCGCACGCGACCCCATGTCAGCCTTCTGGGTTGGGGCCCGGCTGGGGCATCCCCAGCTTTATTTGGGGTTAAGATGAGAAGCATAGCCATATAATAGCACAGGATACGTTTCTCATGCACAAAATATAACCTTACGTGGTATAATTTCAAAGAGGCGTAGCCGGCTAAAGGCCGCAGGCCCAGAAAATAATATTGAAATTTAAAAAAGAATATTGATGGAATTATATAATTTGTTTATAAAATAAATGAGTAATAATATGTTTAAGTATATATAAATTTAGAGATTGTATATAATGAATATAGAATTGAATTTGATTTTGGATTAATAGTATTGTATTTATTGGAATATATTAATGAGTGAGGAATATATTGAATATATATATTTTTTTAGGTTAGTATGTTTTTATTGTTTGTTTAAAAAAGAATTATTTTAAGGAGAATTTAATAAATAATATTTATGTTTTATATATTATTAATATTGTTTATTTATTAATTTTAATATTATTTATTATATATATTTATTCTAATATTAATTTTATTATTAATAATTTAATATAATATATATTTTTATTATTATTTAATTAGTTTTTATTAAGTTTTTATATATCCAATATATAATAATATGTTTTGAAATATGTTTTTTAATTTTAGTTAAAATCTTATTGTATGTCTTCAATTAATATCAATAATTTGTTTTAATAATAATTTAATTATATAATGCAAATAATTAAAATTATATATAATAAATAATTTCCAAAAAAATAGTATATTAAAGAAATTCTAATTTAAAATAATAAGTAAACTAATATTAATATATAAGTATAAAATTAAAAATTAAATATTGAGAAATATATAATTGAAAATAGTAATTTATTAATTATATAATTAATAATTATAAGATATATATATATATATAATATATTATTAAATTAAATAAAAATTGATA